TTTATTGGAAGGGAACTCCACATGGCTGTGGTAGGGCCTTGCAACAGTGTTCGCTGTTGCACGAATGGGCAGGTCCGTCCGGGTACCACGACCTCGCAGAAGACCGGCGTAAAGTAAAAGTGTTACACTTCTGCGTTTCGTCTGGTGAGTGAGGTAGCCGGGGCACACTTTATTAAAGATGGGGACGCATTTGCAACCCTACGGGTGTTGCAATGTCCATGGGCGACGGTTATCACTTAACATCAGGTGAACCGCCAGCTCGTTTGCCACTTTCCCACATAAATAAAACACCCGTTCGTGTATTTGGCAAACAACATCCAATGCGTTTGTTACAAATACATGTATTCCTCACTTTCGCTCACTTTACAATAAATTATTTGGCAAATGTGAGGAGCACAGTTAATATTTTTTAATGATATCAATAAAATCTTAAATAACTTTCAGACGGATTACTTATTTTTTATCTGCCCGCAAATGATTTAATATTCATAGAGTGAGATAACATTGTGTCAGTATTACACTGTATCAAATTATATTCGACACAAATATTATATAATTTACATTGAAAATTTAATTAGTTTTATCAAGTACCTGATAATAAAACAATTTGAATTATTATTATAGTGTATAATGCGCAAGAAAACAAGGTGTGTAAGGCAAATAAAGTAAATATAACACAAACACAATCATTTATAAAAACACAAGAATTAAATGAAATAATTTCTAACAATCTCAGTTCCGAAATCACTTAATATATTCGAAATTTTTATTAGAAGATAATACTTTTAATAACATACATTACAGCTCAAGATATATTTACGTTTTATTATTTCAGTTTAATTAACGTAGAATTTATTCAATGTATAGTGATTTGAAAATTTGATCAATTTTATTAGTGCAGATAATATATTATTTCATATTGATTTCTCTTACAAAACGTGTTAAGACTATTTATCGTACTTTAGATAAATATATATTATACAAAATAGTCTTCTATATACAACGCAAATTTTATAAAGAATATATATCTACATAACGTATACATCTATGAATTTTATGTATATTTAAATTAGACGAGATTTACGTTGCATACAAATATATATTTGCAATGGGAATTTAATTATTACCTACAAGAACTACTTATTTTACACAAATATTATAAGGACATTAATGATAATATCCTAAAAAGTACCATAAAGGACAAAAAAAATCGATCCCATATGAAAAAAAATAATTTAAACAATTATAATTTCCGCGCCAATTACACGATATCATTTTAAATCAATAAAAAGTAGAACAAAACGGATCGAATTAATTCGAAGATTTAGATCGAAAAATGTCGAATAAAAAACGAATATAAATCGAATAAAAAACTAATATAAAGTTGTTCTTGATATACGTTTACCCTGCGGCGTTAATACTTTGTATGGTGCAGTACAAATTGCCAGAGAGTTATATAATAGAAGTATGTTCGTCAAATAATTCGTCGATACGACATTATTACGCATTGATATCGATATTTTTTTTTCATAAACTACTGTACTAAGCTTTTATTAGCATTTAATATAATTTAATATTTTTTTAGCTGTTGTCATTATAAAAACATTTGAAAGTCGTTACACCTGTAATTGAGATACTATTTAGTTAATTATACTATGTAATTATTTATGTTCTAAGCATGTTTTGATGTGTATCTTGTTGGTAAATAAATATTGGATGACATAATCATGTCCGAATATAACGTTAAGTCTTCTAAACGCGTGTTAAAAGTATATTTCATCTTAATCATTGGCAATCATATGATACCATGCAATATCAAATAAATAATATCACCCGTAGTGAGTACAGTATATACGTAGAATTTAAGCTGACCAACAATCAGGTTTTTGCTATTGTTTTAGAAATACGTGGCATTAAGCAATGAAATAAATATTTTCAACCAGTATTATACAGTTGTTTCGTTTTTTTTTTTTTTTTTAATTTATTATTACGATTTCCAAATTGAAAAAGTAGTAAAAACAATTTAATTGAACTTTGCATTAAAAATTATTTCTAGAAGCATTAAACAGACATATATCAATATTACCAACCGCCTAGCAGATTTTAGCAGCTTTTCATAATATATATATATAACAATTATACAAAATCGGTACTAATTAATGCAATGGGTAATTTAATGAAACACCGTACTATGTGATAAATATTGCACCTTTGGAAAGAGACATTCAGCTAATTTCGGTTACGTAGTGTGTTATCTCTGTCGCACAAAGCCATGACAGAGAGACAAACAGTGTGTGACAGAGACAATGCATTTTCCCTTTTCTAAAGATCGACCTGTTCATCAAAGTCACAAAAATTCCAAAATGGCAACGCCAAAAAACGTCTAAATATTTAACATACTAGCCAAGCCTCGCAGTTTTCCCTGCGCTTTTTCAGGACGGGACTTTTCACACAACGTAATCTAGTCCCCAACTACGGAACATGTACTATAGGCACTAGTTAACGGATAAACGTACTCAAACCTACTTTTGTAAATAAAATACATTATACATACACGAATAGAGGTACTAATGCAGGTACTAGAAAACCAATATGTTCACCGCACAATTATTTTCTAGTAGTGGGGATCGAACCCAAACCCTATGGCGCAAACGACAGGTCCACTTACCACTACGCCAACAGGGTCTCTTGTTTGCCGTCGACTTGGCACAATCGCCTAAAATTTGCAAGGCGTTTATAACTGCCCGCTCCTATATATACATATTTATATACACAGCCTATAAAAATTGTCTACAAATGGCTATGTTACGCGAGAAAAATCTTCTATTCAGCCATATAATTCGCGTGAAACTAACAGGCCCACCGACTTTACAATATTACATTAGAGAAACGCAATTATTCCTAGAACTACACTATTTATACAGATGTACTAATAACAATGTTCACATACCCTTCTGCCTGCAGGACGCCAAGTATCACTTACCTTACCTAGCCTCGTAATTGAATCGAAATAAAACTTTCCACAGTACTTAATCGCTGTAATATTTCTCCGTCAAAACAATAATAAAAAAGAAACTCTGTATTAAGTCTCATTTGTTCTCTTTGTATCGTTGGATTATTTTTTTATGTTGATTTACGTAAATGTCACTTTCGTCATGCTTCTATTCATAAATTCCATTATCAATGTGTTTAGAAATACATTATATTATTGCAATGCTTATAAATCAACAAAACAACTAAAGATTTATTTTGCGACTGTGTGACCGTTATTAAGAATTGCATTGCATTGTGATGCTGAGTTTTTATTGTGATTTATAATAAGTAACATTTTTTAAATTAATTTTATGTTTCTGTAACTAAAACGAAAAAAAAAAGAAAAGAAGAAATTTGAAAACAATATAAAATATCATCAACTTTGAACTGATATGTTTTAAATGTTTAATTAAATTAATAAAATTAAATACTTACTGCACAAAAAATTAACGACATATCTAAATCAATCTCAATGGAAACTAAGTAAAACTGGTAATTAAGTAACACTTATAAAGTAAAAAAAAATATCTTGATTATTACTTAAAAACAAGGATAACGCATAAATAAAGTAAAAAGCCTCATTAATTCCTTAAATAATTAGTCGAAACTACTAAAAATCTCTCTTGATCACGCACGGATCTTAACAAATAATAACAAAAATAATACCATTTTACGGACGTTTAGACTTTACTAAATAAATTAATAGCACGAAGTAGTAACATCGTTACTAAATAATTAAATAATATTACGTAAAAATTAACATACAAAAATTATCAAAGGAAAAACATCATATAGTACTCGGCGATTAGTATTGCGCATGAACCTATAGAAAGAGACGATCGGCGTCGTAGAGCGTTGTCTCTGTCGCACACTACCTACGTGATGTTCGTCAGTCATTATAAGTGTGCGACAGAGATAGCGCTCTACAAAGCCGACTGTCTCTTTCTAAAGGTCCACGTGGAATGTTTATCGCCGATTGGATCGGATCTACGCAACTGGATCAGTTTGTCGTTATCTCAATAGACGTTGAAGTGTAAAGTGAAAGGTAAACGCACATATTTCCAAAAGTGAACTCATAATAATAGCCTGGTGCTCAAACCAGGCGCATAAAGTCATGAAACACCGCTTGTTTAAAAACTAAAACGCCTTATGTTTTGAATACTGCTCAGTTACATGTCGACTAAAATACGCAATGGCAGTACAAAATTTGTAAAATGATTTGAAAAAATGTATACATAATTATGTTATACATACTCAAAAACATTACATATGTATACATAATCATTTATGTAAACCTGGATACTGCTGCATTGTATGTCTTCGCTTTTTTTAGATTCAATAAGACAATATTGTAAGTTGCAGTACTTCCCTCTGAAAAGTTTCTTTTTTGACATGTTTGTATTGCGGACATGGAAATTTATGCATAATACGAAGCAATACCGAATTCGAACATAATTTATAAGTAAATTGAGCAGTATTTTAACTTAACAATCGACAGGCGAAAATATTACCAACATATACAAGAATATATAATATAAGACGTCGTAGGCAAACGTGAACAATAACATAACGGTATTAATAGCGAAACATCGACATTTTCCTAGTCGACAAAATGAAACCTGTTATCATCAACATAAACCAGATAAAAACGGTTATCTTTAGACCGTTTCATATAACCAGTGTAACCAAATAAGTCTGCAGAATCGGACAGTTTTCATTTTAATAGCCGTTATGATCAACTAGCGTAAACAAGTTGTTAATTAAAAACAGTTTACGAAAACGGTTCGTAAGGAAGCCCGTGTTAGAATACAGTTCGATAACCTTCAACGTAGCCGCTGCGTAGTGCCGTAGTACGTAGCCGCGTAGGGCGCTGCAGCGTAGGACATCACAGGCGTAGCGACGTAGGCGTATGGCCCGCTTCGCTACGGCACATGGCTGCAGACAGTCGGTATGTGCGCCGCGTCTCATTGCGCCTTCGGCTTTTGCGCTTGCTCGCTCGCGAACACGAACGCGAATTCGGACTTCTTCTGCGCGAATGCGATGAACTCGTCTGCGGTAAGCAGAGATGTTTCTTATGATCAATATTGTACACAAAATTTTGACAACCCCATTGGCTTAGTGACCACTTGTGCCAGAGGTGTGGGTTGGATTCCCGTTGCTGGAAAAGTACTGTGAGACGAACATAGTTTTTTGTCTGGGTGTTTTTTTTTTATGTGAAAAGTTGCCAAGCGAGAAGGGGATTCACCTGATGTTAAGTGAATACCGCCGCCGATGGACATCTGCTACACGTTGTAGATGCGTTGACTACCTTTTGCAAATTGGGCTCCAGTTACCTCACTCACCAGATGAAACGCGGAAGTATTATTCTTCCACTTGACGACGGTCGTCTGTGAGGTCGTGGTACTTACCCGGACGTGCTAGCCCATTCGTGCAACAGCCGAGGCTGCTGCGCGGCCCTACCACGGTTAAAGGGCAATAGATAACTGATAAAGATACTTAAACATCTAATCATGGTAGGGCCATGCAACAGTCTACTCTGTAGCACGAATGGGCAGATCCGTCCGGGTAAATACCACGACCTCACAGAAGACCGGCGTGAAGTGGAAGTTATAACACTTCTTCTTCTGCGTTTAGTCCGGTGAGTGAGGTAGCCAGGACCCACTTTATTAATGTCAGCTTATCAGCAACCTTAGGGGTGATGCAAATGTCTATGGGGGACGGTTATCACTTAACATCGGGTCAACCGCCAGCTCACTTGCCACCTTCTCACATAAAAGAAAAATAAAATTAGGTGATACAAATAGATGTACGTGTAGAACTGTGTAGGACCCTTGGAAACTGTGCCATAGAGTTTTCAATGATATAAGCTGCCAGTTACCGAAAGTTATGTATCCCCTCTCTCCAGTGTCCACCAGGCTGAAGACCTGGTGAGATTGTTCGCGATTCAGCCCCAAACACCTCGTGGCGACCTCCTCGAACCCAGAAACCTCGAGGCGGCCTGCGCCACTGGCGTCGTACAACTGCGGACACAAATATCACCTCAGTTTACTATGATAGAGTCACGTTGTAGAGCCAAGGAAAAATTTAAAGTTGTGGGAACACAAAATGGATTTTTACCAGATTACCACTCTCCAGGCGGACCTCCAAATTCGTGGAACAACGAAGACTGTTGCGTGGCCCCACCACTAAAAATTAACTTGACTTCACACAGTAAAGTTTGATGTCACCGTGGCGCAGTTGCCAAGGTATCGGCCTCGGCGTCGGGGATCGTGGGTTCGATTCTTAAACGGGACAACTATTTGTGTTATCCGCAGATAGTGGTTTCGCATCTGGGTGTTTGTCCGCGTGAAATTTATGTTTGTTAAAGGTCCTTACAACACAGGATAATTATCCTAAAGTGAAAAAAAGTAATTGAACTTTAGACAGGGGGCGAAGTCTCACCTTGAAGGCGTAGGAGATCAGCTCCGAGAGAGGTGCGTGCTGGGTGCACAGGAAACAGGCGCACAGCACGTAGTCCGGGAAGCTGACCATCCCGCTGGAGCCCTGGAATGAGCGCCGGTTAGTATTATTGCCTTTTTTAGACGATCGTTGGCTACGAGCGTGTCTTGCGTGACACGGATCTAACATGGACACTTCGAGAGTGTCAAAATACTTATCAAGAGGCCTTTTTTATGTGTGAAGTAAGCAAGAAAACAAGCGATTCTGGTTATGTTAAGTTAAATGATGATGACTTCATGGCGCTATCGCCGAGGTATTGCCTTCGGCGCCAGGGGTCGTGGGTACGATTCCCACTCGAGACAACTATTTGTGTGACCCACAGATAATTGTCCGCGTGAAATTTATATTTGTAAAACGTCTTTAAAACACAGGATGATGTTATTCTAAAGTAAGGGCAATGTTTTTTTAATGATAAAAAACATGGCGCCGTGGACATCTACAACAAATGACGGTTGCAGACGAGTTGCCAACTCGAAAAAACATGGGCCCCGGTTGTCTCACTCGCCAGACGAAACGCGGAAGTGTAACACTTCACGCCGGTCTTCTGTGAAGTCTTGGTACTTCCTTGGACGGGCATACCAATTCGTGTAACAGCCAACTGTTTCTTCGGCCTACCACAGTTAAAATTTAGAAGTACTGTGCGTGTGTGCCGTGTGTTACCGTGGTGTGACAATGGTCCTTGACTAACAAAGGATCCAGTAAAAAAAAAGTTAAGTAAATTAAGTAAGTAAACAGCCTATACATATCCCACTGCTGGGCAAAGCCCTCCTCTTTTACAGAGGCTATCAGGGCACAGTCCACCACGCGGCTCCACTGGCGATTGGCGGACTGCACGTATCTTCGAAATATTTTTTTTGTTATTTCGAAAATATGCAATATTTCCTCACGATGTATTGCTTCACCGCACGTGATAAAGTCAGCACTTAAAATCAACAATTTCATTGGTGCCGGCAACCGGGATCGAACTCAGATTGCCCAAGTATATTGAAGGCGAGAGTCTGGACACTGAGCTATGAAGGATCCAGGACACCGACCTATCAAGGATACAGGACACTGAACTAACAAGGATACAGGACACTGAGCTAACAAGGATCCAGGACACTGAGCTAACAAGGATCCAGGACACTGAGCTATCAAGGATACAGGACACTGAATTAACAAGGATACAGGACACTGAGCTATCAAGGATCCAGGACACCGAGCTATCAAGGATCCAGGACACCGAGCTAACAAGGATACAGGACACTGAACTAACAAGGATCCAGGACACTGAGCTAACAAGGATCCAGGACACTGAGCTATCAATGATACAGGACACTGAACTAACAAGGATACAGGACACTAAGCTATCAAGGATCCAGGACACCGAGCTATCAAGAGCTAATATATAAAATTCTCGTGTCACGGGGTTCGAACTTGAACTCCTCCGAAACGGCTCGACCGATTTTTACCAAATTTTATATACGTATTCAGTAGGTCTGAGAATCGGCTACTATCTATTTTTCGTCCCCCTAAATGTTAAGAGAGTAGTCCACCCCTATTTTTTTTTTAAATAAAACTTTTTGTTTCTATTTTTTTATGACACAGCATACAAAAATACATACAACCCTAAATTTTCACCCCTCTACGCAGACGTAGTCGCGGGCAGCAGCTAGTAATATATAATCAACCCAAATGAAAACTCCTAAAATAGCCGTACACAAAATAAAATTACATCGTCCACATTAAAAATGTTCATAAATATCAAAAAATATATATTCAGTCATTCATTCATTTATTCATTCATAACAAACGGAAAGAACAATCTTTATTTCCCAAAGACGGTCTCGCATACTCACGTCCACCAAACCACCACAACTCACCACCCATCAAAAACGGTCCACCCACTAAGACGGATCAAACTCGACGCAGTTATGTTATTTAATTACTGAGTTCCTATGGCCACATGCCAGCTCTGTCATCAGACCCTGGTTACCCTCTAGCACCAAAGAACTCGTCATGATGAATCAAACGAGCCGAGACGCAATAGGGTTGCGTCGTTTCTTTACTGAATTCATATGACTTTCTTCCAGCTCCATCATCAGATCAGACCCTGGTAACCATCTAAAAAATAAGAACACGCCAGGACGAATCAAACGAACCGAATCTAGATGGGGTTGAGTCGTTTCATTACAGAGTAGTCATAGGAACGTCATAGGGTGGTGAGTACCTCACTCAAGAGATGCATTTTGCTCCGGCTCTGGCTACCTAGCCAGAGCCCACTTTATTATAAGGAGAAAACGCATCTGCAATCCTATGCATATGTCCATGGACGGGTGAAGATGGAGCTCCATCATCAGATCGTGGTTACCAATGAAAGACAAACTACTCATTAATACGATTCAAATGTACCCAAACGCGATGAGGCTCTGTCGTTTCATTTCGAAGTTCCTTTGGCCTTCTTCCAGCTCCATCATCAGATCAGCACCAAGTCACAAAAATATTGGAATGTAGCGATTTACACATGTATACAAAATCGTAGCTCAACCAGTAACCGGGAAGTAGATCAAATTTAATTTGCAAGATTTTATTTGATGATTTAACATTACAATTTTTTTTTTATAAACTTTGGCCTCATTTTAGGATAACATTATCCTGTATTGTAAGGACGTTTTACAAACATAAATTGCACGAGGACAAACATCCATATGCGAAACAACTATCTGTGGACAGCACACATAGTTGTCCCGTGTGGGAATCGAACCCACGACCCCCGACGCCGAAGCCAAAATCTTGGCCAACTGCGCCACGGAGTCATCAAAATATTGTAAAAATGTTCATAAAATTAAAACTACTTGGCAAAACTATGGTAAATTTTTATGGGACCAAATGGCAACAATTCTGCATCAAACTAAAGAAGAATCACGTAAATCGGATCATAAATCTCAACGTAATCGGTGTACATACATCGAAAAAAATATACCAATCGAATTGAGAAAATCCTCCTTTTGAAGTCGGTTAAAAATATTATATTATTTTAATTAAATATTGAAGGGACTTACATTAAATCTATATATGTGTGCAAAAATATATAAAAACATTATGTTATACAATTTTAATTAGTGGTCCACCTAGGTCCTGGACCCAGCACAGGGGGGGGTCATGACCCCCATGACCCCCCCCCCCCCCGGATCCGCCCTTGGTCTGGAATGTGTATGGACTGCAGTGTGCCCCCACCTGCAGGAATATGTCGAAGAGCCGCTGCAGCTTGTCATCGTCGGGCACCTGCAAGCGGCGCGCGAACTCTTCCCTCGTCACCCACCTGCCGCGCCCCCCCACGCCCCGCTCGGCCAACTGCAACTCCGGCATGGACCGGTCCAAACTGGGAACCCCCCCACATTCCATCAGAATAGCCCCCCCCCACTTCCGAAGTTTTTTTTTTTTTATGCGAAAAGTTGTCAAACGAGCAGACGGCTTACCTGATGTTAAGTGAATACCGCCGCCCATGGACATCTGCCACACCCGAGGGTTACAGATGCGTTGACAACCTTTTGAAAATTGGGCTCCGGCTACCTCACTCACCAGACGAAACGCGAAAGTATTATAGTTACACTTCGCTTGGCGTAAAATCATGAGAGCGGATTTTCTTGCGATGCGACACCGTCCATCAAATAGCGGACACATTGCTCGGTGACCCATTTGATCTTAGCAGTTTGTATGGCTAAAAGAGCTCTAGAATATTTCACTTTCAATTGTACTATGGTATTTTTTCGTCCATCTATCGCGTTACGCATTACTGGCTTCGGTGTAGGGTGACATCCGTTAAGTACATTGTCCTCGGACTACGGTTTCAGATTAAAGATTCATTAAACATTCATTTATCACAAAAATAGCATTACATATAAATGGAATGCTTTTTTCCTACCCCGGTTCTACATGTTGGTAATTCGAGGTTATATTTATTTCGGGTTAAATATCGACATGATCTTTTAGGAAAAGTTATGTGTGAGCGCATTTATTATGATTTTTTTCTTACAAAAAGACGTACTGCATCTATGTATCTGTTATATAATTTATTGATTAGCAAGACTTTCACCGATACTAGCAACTGGATGATCATCTTGAAAGTCAGTCGTTGGCACTGTGCTTTTTTGAAGATAAACGTCGGTTTCCTCATTAAGTAGTTCGTTGTCAGGCAACGGCGATTCAATGTCATGTATACCGTCCTACAACTCCTTCAAGCCTCACGTGATTAATGGTCGGCCCTTGAAGTAAACTCAAAGACGCTCTGCAGAGGAACCAAGGCCAATATGGCGACAACACATCAGCTGACCGTGTAGAATTTATGTTTACTTTGAATAAGTAATTATTTTATAATTAACATTTAACTGAAAATTTTATCATAAAATCATTGCGTTTGGAAAAAATTGCACACTGACCCTCGAAAAGGGTCATGCTTGTTCACCATGGTAGCAACAACTTTATTACCTACAATTCCAAGTTGTTCAAATAAATCGTTGTCAATTGGATTTAATGTCTCTATCACAAACAAACAGTACTGGCACAAAGGAAATAAATTATTTTTCTTTTGTTACGCTAAAGAAGTACAACTTCTTACGCGCGCACGTAAGTACATTTTTTTTATGCGAAAAGTTGTCAAACGAGCAGACGGTTCACCTGATGTTAAGTGAATACCGCCGCCCATGGACATCTGCCACACCCGAGGGTTACAGATGCGTTGACAACATTTTGAAAATTGGGCTCCGGCTACCTCACACACCAGACGAAACGCGAAAGTATTATAGTTACACTTCGCTTGGCGTAAAATCATGAGAGCGGATTTCTTGCGATGCGACACCGTCCATCAAATAGCGGACACATTGCTCGGTGACCCATTTGATCTTAGCAGTTTGTATGGCTAAAAGAGCTCTAGAATATTTCACTTTCAATTGTACTATGGTATTTTTTCGTCCATCTATCGCGTTACGCATTACTGGCTTCGGTGTAGGGTGACATCCGTTAAGTACATTGTCCTCGGACTACGGTTTCAGATTAAAGATTCATTAAACATTCATTTATCACAAAAATAGCATTACATAGTTCACTTAAAACGTGGTAAACATATAGAAGTTTTTAATATATGTATGACACAAACACAGTCTCAGACCGGAGTTTATAAATGTAAGCAGTTAGTACTTAATTTGTGTTTTTTGAACAATGCAATGGTTTTACATCCTTTAATTTCCTCGGGCAGTTTGTTCTATAGTCCCACAAATCGAATGCTTTTTTCCTACCCCGGTTCTACATGTTGGTAATTCGAGGTTATTTCGGGTTAAATATCGACATGATCTTTTAGGAAAAGTTATGTGTGAGCGCATTTATTATGATTTTTTTCTTACAAAAAGACGTACTGCATCTATGTATCTGTGATATAATTTATTGATTAGCAAGACTTTCACCAATACTAGCAACTGGATAATCATCTTGAAAGTCGGTTTCCTCATTAAGTCGTTCGTTGTCAGGCAACGGCGATTCAATGCCATGTATACCCTCCTACAACTCCTTCAAGCCTCACGTGATTAATGGTCGGCCCTTGAAGTAAAGTCAAAGACGCTCTGCAGAGGAACCAAGGCCAATATGGCGACAACACAACAGCTGACCGTGTAGAATTTATGTTTACTTTGAATAAGTAATTATTTTATAATTAACATTTAACTGAAAATTTTATCATAAAATCATTGCGTTTGGAAAAAATTGCACACTGACCCTCGAAAAGGGTCATGCTTGTTCGCCATGGTAGCAACAACTTTATTACCTACAATTCCAAGTTGTTCAAATAAATCGTTATCAATTGCATTTAATGTCTCTATCACAAACAAACAGTACTGGCACAAAGGAAATAAATTATTTTTCTTTTGTTACGCTAAAGAAGTACAACTTCTTACGCGCGCACATAAGTACATTTTTTTTATGCGAAAAGTTGTCAAACGAACAGACGGTTCACCTGATGTTAAGTGAATACCGCCGCCCATGGACATCTGCCACACCCGAGGGTTGCAGATGCGTTGACAACATTTTGAAAATTGGGCTCCGGCCACCTCACTCACCAGACGAAACGCGAAAGTATTTGCCATACTCCCACTTTACGCTGGTCTTCTGTGACTTGCCCGGACGGGCCTGCCCATTCGTGCAACAGCCGAGGCTGCTGCGTGGCCCTACCACCGTAAAAAGTTTAGTTCCATAGTTTTTTTTTTTTAATTTATTCAAATGGCCACTCACCCGAGCTGGTGCCTCGCCTCGCTCACCTCCCTCGCGCTGGAGGCGCCCGGGATCCGGAGCTGCTTCGCGCGCGCTATCAACCGGCAGTCGTCATACGTGTAGTCCAAAACCGGCACCCCCAGCGCCCTGCACACGATAACATAATCCTGCAGTAAGATCATCACCATCCTCTTCATCCAGCCTCATCCTGGAAATGCCTGCGCGCACCCGCCCTCGCGGGGGGCAAGAGCGTGTTATGTCGGGCTCGCACCGACGAAAAGCCCCACGATGTTGCACAGGCGCATATCGGCAGGGCCACGGGAACGCTTTCGTACACTTCCGCGACCTTGCCAGCGCTGGCCGCTTCGGCAGCCCCCTGCCCCTCTCCTCCAGGTAAGGCCCCATTTTCAAGGCCAACGAACTGCTCGCCATGGGGGCAGGAGAGCCAGTGCCGATGAGCAGCTAGCCTCCCAGCCCCCAGCGGCGGACCTGGTCTGTGGCTCCGCCGCTCACCACGTTTCGGCCGCGAGTAGGGAGAACGGCGCACCGCAATACCGACACTCCTCTCCCCCCGCGGCCCCACCACCACTGCAACACCGGTGCAGCCCCGCCGAGTCGCGGAGGATAGGGAGCGCGGCCATCGGCCCTAACGTAACCTAGCCTAGGTGGGGTCTCACCATCCTCCTGCCCCTATCCCACCTGGGTGGGGTCGGCACAACATGTGAATCATGTTGTAAGCAGTTTTGGCCAGGTTTTTCACGACCGGCCCCCTGCCTGCCTCTCTCGAGCCCTCCGTCCAAGGTCTTAGTGCATTTGATTCTTAGTTCAAACTCATCAATTAGTTTTATTTATTTATTTATTTTATAATTTATGTACACAGAGTTATGGCAGAGATGTAAATAGATGAAATAATTTGTACGAAGGTCCTGCTTATTTAATAAGAAATTTCTTCCAGCAGACTTGTGACTGGAAATTGGTTACAGATGGCGGTTAATTGTGTACATACATCAATTAAAACACACGTATATGCAATAATTATAAATATGATATCATTACTAAAATAAAATATATATAAATACATACATACACATACATACAAATATATACATAAATAAGTAAATAAATATATAAATATATATGTCGCATTTATACTGCCAAGGAAAGGTAGTGATCCTTATCTCTTTTCTTAAAAATCGATATAGTTTTAGATTCCCTGATTATCGGTGGGAGTGAGTTCCATAATCGAACTGCATGAACAGTAAAGGAATCGGAATATGAAGCGCTTTTATGGGGAGGGAATTTAGGTTTTAATCACGAGATAGGTTTTAAAGTCACGAACAAGGCCTTGTCACTAATTTTGACGACCCAATTGGCGTAGTGGACAGTAACCCTGTCTCTTGCGCCAGAGGGTGTAGATTCGATCCCCACTACTCTAAAAATATTCTGCGATTAACATAGTGTTTTTCTAGTGTCTGGGTGTTTTTATTTCTATACCATGTATAACATTAAGTATATTCATCAGTTACCTAGTGTCCACAGTACAAGCTTTGCGTAGATTGGTACTAGATGGCGTTGTTATAAAAAAATGTTACCCGAAAAAAAAAATACTTAATTAAACGTTGATATACGCACCTCGCCATAACCTCTCGCACGTTCCTGGCGTAGAGCTTCGGATCTCTCTTCTCCTCCTCGCTAGGGTAGTAGACCGGGAGGAATTCTATCTCACAGGAGCTATGCACTTGCGTCAGGGTCAGCCACAACAGCTTCAAGCTGGAATTTCGTTCGAACTTTTTACTTTCTATGCGTAATGTGTATCATAATAAGATAAACATGGAAATAGCATAGTTGATTGTCGACGGTTATCACTTTTGCCTTCAAGTGGAAACATCATTTGGATCCCTTGCCATTTGATTGGGGGGCAGGGGCAGGGTGATTTAGGAGTCAGAACTAGGGTACCTACTGAAAAACCCAAGATGCAACTGTCTTTGTCATATCGGTCGGGGACACGGGAGCACTAAGACGACCTTCCGCGCCTCTCGGGTTTATATCAGGTCCTCGGCTATGTGAGCATCCGGTCATATGGTAATTATGGCAGCGGTGTAATTATCACAGCATAACTAACGAGGCTCGTATTGAGCTGCACATCAAATCAATCCCAATCCCGACTCGGATTGACTGGTAGACGCCATTAGGCATCGAGTTCGCCCATTGCAGCCGTTAGCTTGAGGTGTGGCAATGAAGCTTAAATAAATCCTGCTCTAAGCTCTGCTAGTTTGATTCGTTAAAAGTGTGTACTTACGCCCCAGGGCCTTCCCATGTCCAGGTGACGGTATCCCTGGCGTTTGGGTAGCGGATGGTGACGGGCTGGACGGGTACGCCTGGGTAGAAACCGCCAGGCTTGAACGTGATCAGGCACGAGCGGTTGGTGCAAGTGCCCTCGGGGAATATGAGGACCTGGAGACCGAAGTGCGTGATGTCAATTAATAGTCATCATCTCCCCGCCCTTATTCCTACCTATTATCTAGGTGGGGTAGACAGACACACGTGAATCACGTCGCAAGTGGGGTCGATAGTGGACAATGGTGGGCAATAGTCAAGGGTTTCTAAGACCGCCTGCTTAGCGGGTTCGCTCCGCTTCTTGGAAACAAAGACCCAGTAGCACAACGAATGTCCGTGGGTGACGCAAACACTTTCGAAATCGAACCTACTAACGAAGCCTGAGCAACTGCGCCGAGGAATGATCACATGAATAGGATTGAGAAACCAAATTTGCTCATAGAATATTGTACTTTATAAAACATCACCCGTGGTGTAGGATAGCTTCACTGTTGGAATTCGTTTGACCTCAACAATATTCGTGCATTCAAAACTCTTTTATTTCAAACTCTTTATTTCTCCAGCTTATGCAATATTCCAACTCGTTTAACTTTCGAGGCTTCACTACAAGCGAACAATTGTTAAAGTTTCCTTTATGGCACACAGATGAAATATCAAAGTTTTGCCCGTTAAAACTTTAATTAAAAGTTTTTTTTTTTAAATTTCACCCATCAGCCTTACTGTACGATACGTTTCACGTGCCCGAACACTCAAATCCGAATTATCCGTGGGTCAGACAAACAGTTGTCTAGTGTGCCGAAGCCCACTTGGCAACTGCGTCATCTGCCATCATATACTTAAAAAATACATATTTAATTAATAATGTATAATAACTTACAACAAACCAATCATACAACATATTAACTGTGGTAGGACCACGCAATGGTATTCACTGTTGCACGACTGGGCACGTCCGTCTGGGTAATTACCACTACCTCACAGAAAACCGGCGTAAAGTAGAAGTGTTAAACGTCTGCGTTTCGTCTGGAGAGAGAGGTAGCCGGGGCACTGCAACCCTACGGGTTTTGCAAATGCCCATGGGCTGCGGTTATCACTTAACATCAGGTGAACTGCCAGCTGGTTTGCCACTTTTTCACATAAAAAATAAATAATAAAACACAGCTTTGAGCGTGAACAGGAGAAAAGATAAGACGATCAAAACAACTCTTCGTTTCAACAACGTTTCTTCTTGAATTAAGTTCATACAACTGTCAGCAACATGTCACGCATTTCTTTAAGTGAATTCTTGTATTATACTTGGCAATTAAACACTGCGCGATAAAGAAGTCAAAGTCGAGCCAGATTAGCATAAGAAAAATAAATGATAACCTATACACGTCACAAATAGCATTATCAAACTGCCTTGAGACAAAATATGAATTGAAAACTATTCAGGGACATCCTTGAAATAACATTAAACCGTCCTCGGCTTAACATTATTTCAATGTCTCTACCTAATCCATAATCAATTGACGACCCGACCCTGCCTTTTGCGCTAGAGGGTGTGGGTTCGATTCCCACTACTAAAAAAATTTTGTGATGAACATAGTGTTTTACCAGTCTCTGGGTGTTTATATATGTATAATATGTATTTAGCTACAAAAGAAAAGTATTTTCAAGTATGTCTATCAGTTTTCTAGTACCCATAGTACAAGTGTTGCTTAGTATGGGACTAGAGAACGTTGTCTAAAAATGTGTCATAGCAATCGGAATGTTGCAAATTGTAATAACATGTGGAACAACATTTATTTATTTATGTATAATAGTGGTCGTTATCTTTATCGACACGATTAAATTCATATTTGGAAAGGCAACGATTCATTACTTATAAAGAAGAGTAATGAATCGTATTACTTATAAATAATCAGTGCAGTTTTCGAGTTACGGGCGCGCTAGCATATTTCATTTGACAACATGAAAGATTAATAACTACGACGTTTTATCAAATAACTTCAAATCTTGTAAAGTGAAAAAATGTGTTCCGTTTTTTGAATTCCTTGCTTGTATGAATGTACTGCAATGAGTATGTACTTGGTTATCATGGTCGCGTACCTGAGGCCAGTCTTCTTTCGAGGTAGCTCTCTCGATGATCTCTTTGATTGTGTTCTGTCGGGAGTTAGGGTCGTCACGCCACACGTAAACAGGCTGTGTGTAGTTTATCAGTTCTGAAAATATTAAGTGATCCATATGAAAAAGCTATATACAACATATTCTTAATATGCAACCACCACTCGTGGTCTGTAATTTTTAAACGCAAATAATTTCTGCTAGTAATCTAATACAGCTCATAATAAAATAACCAAAGGTCCAGCCTAAAACATTAAGCCAAAGAATTTAGGAGAACTAATAAATTCCAATATCGAACCAATTTTATTAAACGAAAGTTCATAGTAGAATCATGGTTAAAAACTTTCAGCTGTATTTCTTTATCAAAATTAATGTTCCAATATAATAATGTAATTATTTACAACAAAAGACGAGTCACAAATAATACAACAGAAATATTACTAGCGTTTTACTTAAGCAATTTACAGCTTGTAAAAATATTAAGATTATTAATTAAAAGCGAGTCTAGTACAAGCGGGCGAGGTACATCAATGACAAAAACAGAAGCGAAATGAGCTCCTAAGCATATGATTTTACATGCATATGTACGCAATTATTTTACACGTAAACAAATAAGATTCTTCGGATAAAGGGGTGTCATCCAAAGCTATGAAAACAAGGTTGAACAATATTTTACTCACTAAACTCCTATATAATATAACAGATGTAACCGATTCTGAGTAACATTGGCTATAATATCACTGTAATAACATGGAATATGATTTTGTTGCAAAATAAATAATTTTATAAAATTATTCTATAGATGTTTCCGTATCTCGTTTTCTTTAAAAAAAAACTGTATAAACATTTACTGCAAGCCTCATGTTTATCTACAACTCCATGTTGCCAAGAACGTAATTGACTATTACTGTTCAACACGGAACACGTGTGGACGCAATTAACACCATACTATTTCCATTACCGCTCCTTCTAAAAATAAGTGTATTGAGAACACATTCCGGTACCGTAGTCGGCAAACTTCTGCTCGCGACCTCAGCTTATTAGCCTCATTTGTGCCCCGTCATTGTATATTTAACTAAACGATGACTTCAGTGGTGGTGTAAGGCAGTAATTAATCCAAATAAGAGTAACCGACTTTCACGGCCCTTAGCCGACAACAACTCTTAGAAAGCACACATAAATATTTCCTGCAAAGACAAAGATAACAACACATAAGAATCTCGAAAAACTTAAAAATCTTTGGAGCATCGCGCGACCACAGATAGCAAGCCCAACTACAAAATCACGTATTTAAATTTAAAAAAGAAGAAAAAAATTAATTGGCACAGTTATTTAATACGCTTCTTTTCATCGTAAATCTGTGACTCTACTGGCACAATTTACACCGAACAATACCAAGCAACCTTGCAACAACCAAAAAAAGCAACAAAACATTGTCGCTGCATGCCAAATCGCTTTGTTGATGCATTCAGAACATTTTATTCTTAACAAAGATTTAAAAGTATTTGAACGAGGAGATCATTGCGACGTTGCCTTGACTCTAAAAAAGCCGGCCAAGTGCGAGTCGGAAAAAATCATCTATTGTATGGGAGGCCCACTTAAATAATTATTTATTCTGTTCTTTGAGTATTTGCTCTTATAGCGGCAACAGAAATACATGATCTGTGAAAATTTCAACAGTCTAACTATCAAGACCTGGTCCAAGACGGACAGACAGACAGACAGACAACGGAATCGCAGTAATAGGGTTCCGCTTTACCCCTTGGGTACGGAATCGTAAAAGTATATTTTTACTAACAAAAAACAAAACCGACCTCCAACATCTCACTCACTATGCTTTTTCTATTGATTTTGTGTAGTTACCTGATGTATCTCCATAATCTAAGGTCAAGTACTAACGAAATTGGTGTGGAACCACATAAGAACTAAACCAAATACAAAAAGTATTGTTGTTAAATCGGTTCAAAAATGACGGAGTTCTAAGGTAACAAAAATTAAAAGAACACATAAAAGCTTTTTGAAATCGGTTGAAAAAAAAACAACTTGTGTCTTCAAACAAAAGGCAGAATAGACAGACTCAAGCCTGACAACTTCGTCAACCAATTCGTCGATCAAACGCATTTTCTTCAATGTAAAGATAACGACGAAACAAACAAATTATTGATCCCACATATTCCGACAATTGCACCTCTTACATACTCCAAAGAGCAATCGTGAACAATTAACAATTCAGAATTAAAATACAAGAAATAATAAAATCATACTCAACTAGAATAACGTCGTAGACCTTTCGAAAATCGCACGTATATTATAGGGATTACTCTAGCAGAAAATGCAGAGTAATTTGAAGAGTACAGCAATAAAGCCAATTTGCTCGATGATTGAATGGAGCAGATGCGGCTTGAATAATGAAGGAATTGCGTGACTCGCAACAGTCTTACAATGTTGGCGGATAATGAGAATTAAGTACGGATAAAGCCGCGGGTCATGAGGAAAGTTTACAGCAAGTAAATCTGACGAATACGTACTTAGCAATTTTGTCCAGATCATGGATTGCCTCTAACGGAATGAAGCCAACACAATCTGCAAAAGCAATCCGATTTTGCCGTTGTGACAATTACAAAATTGCGAGCATATAAAAAAGTAATGACTGCCATTCCGGTTGAAATTTAAATATCAATAAAAAAGACGACATTGCAATTATTGTTTATTGCCTGCCTGTCTCTTGGTTTAATTCCGACCACGTGTCGGCGTCATCAATCACTCCGACATCAACATGTTACAGTTTGATTTCTTCGACTGACGCCAAAAAAAAGTAAAAGTATTTTAAAAATTATTTTTGCATTCAGTTCGCTTGAACTTCCACGTGTCCCCATATTGATGTTCTTGGAATTGGGCCTTGGATTCCGGAGATAAATCAGGGGAGGATAATGAAATAGCAAATGAAACTTTTAGTGAGTGGGATATTTAAAGTCGCTTTCGTTTTTTGTCAATCCATCACCGCGTGGCATCCGACTTCGACTCGTAATAATCTACATAAATACTATCAATATAATGATGGAGAGGTAGTCAAAAGATCGGGATGAAAACAATGATAGAATGAAGTGACCACTTCTGTCTTACTTTGGCTACGAATGTTTTGAGGCAATGCAGCCGGAGATGATTAAACCACAGAAATTTGAGGTCAACCCAATTACCGCTAAGCCGCCAGACACTCGTAGCACATGGTAACTTAGCCGTAAACGATGAACACACAAGTTCAATCAACGTTTGAAAGGATAAGAAAACGTGACCAAATAACATGCATTACGTACATCGTGAACTGTTTACAATAATTTGTTACCATCGTTTATCGCACGCATAAGTAAGGACGCAGCGAATGGCTTTGAATGCGTGGAATATCAGCAACAAAGGTACGGTCACACGAAGTCCCTCTAAGTTGCTCAATAGCGAAAGGCATTAGGCTTTACAAAGCCATATGTGCAGTTACGATGGACAAAATTATTGTAAAAAAACCTGAGATTCATGTTCAGGATAATAATTTCTCTAATACTTGCTCAATACGTTGCTACATGATTTATATTTATCAAGGCAAGTAAGAAAAACCACTAACAAAGGAAAGTTGGTTTTTAATCCGATATTTTTATAAAGAAAATTATAATTATAGATTTTTTTGTAGTTTTATCGATGACCAGTAAATAGGTAAGAGAATGTTTGGTAGTGTTTATAAAAAATGTAATAAGACATCTTATATTATTGGCATAAACAAGTAAATCCTGAATATCGTATCAAAGACTGGAAAGAATGAGTATTCATATGGGATTAACTTGCCTAAGAAACATTTCTGGGCTTACGGTTCATTATCTGAACGGTCAATGTCTGATTGCCTATTGAAGTCAGAACGTGCTGTGAATATTACATTATATATTGTGCCTTTAAACGCGGTGCATGGTCATGCATGATTACGCTTCATCATTCTCAGCCAGTCTTACGAACTACAGTCATACATACTTTCACGTTTCGTCTATTGAGTGAGGTGGCCGGAGCCTAATTTTCAAAAGATGGTCAAACATCTGGAACCCTAGGGTGTAACAGATGTCCATAGGCGGCGGTAGTCACTTAACATCAGGTGAACCGTCTGCTCGTTTGACAACTCCTCACATAAAAAATAAGCTCAAAATTAGCTAGAAAGATTCGCCAAATGCTTTCCAAATACTGTTTAAGTATTATAAAAGCTTTATGAAAATACATAAACGATTTTCACATAAATAATAAGTTCACTTTTCGGAGCGAACTCAATACCCGAGTATTGCGAGAGCTATTCCACTCTTCAACGTCTGTTGCCTTTGTTACCGCAAAGTATACGTAGTATCAATGATTTCAAATAAAACAGGGTACAATACAAAGGAGGATCAGTCTTTACTTTCGTTGGAAGGCAATGCAAGACTTTGGCAGCTTCGAACCACAATGTGATACACATCATTGTCAAGAGAACGGGATTAACAACAAAGTAAGAGCGAAAGGCCTTTGAAGATCTCAACGATAGGATTTAACGATGCGATTGCACGCAGACTGGTTTTGTCGACTTTCTGATAAGCTATTTGATTTTGTTGTTATGTTACGAAATTCGCCACTCTCTTAATTCGGGGACAGATTATAAACAGTTCGACTGTTCATCCTCAAGGTCGCTTACAGTTGACAATTTTCAGGTGAATATGGTGCGAAAACTCTTAGCACTAGTTATTCGACAACTCTCGGAATCTTCCCAGTGACGGGTATTTGTACATAGATAAAACGATTACAACAAAACACTTAAGTATAAATGCTTTCCACTTTATGGCAGCCTTACATGTCACATATTGGAAGCTATAACAACCTTACATTGTCTCACCGATTTAAACTAAGTGTGCTGTTCAGCCCACTATCAATGAGAGGAAATCGCACCGGTGGACACTCTAGGCGTGATGACCATAGTGTATGTCTTCGGTTACCCCACTCGCCGGTCAAGCAAATAAATAAATAATATTTAATACTAATACTTCACGTAAAGTGTCTTTGGCCTAACACAAATACATACCGACAATGGTTAAATAATGCAAAACATGATTAGTATACAGCAGTTTGATAACTACATAGACACCATGATCTAGAGCGGTATTATTAACTTGCCGATTTAGTAATAACATTAACAACCTAATTTATTTAGTATCAAACATTCGGTTTGGCTTTGTTAAAATTTTATCCACTTGTCCGTTCAAGTTCGATCTGGCGTTGTCATGCAATGCTATGTGTACCGTTGAAGCAGAGAATTTATTCGCGGCCTTGACAGCAGCCTAGAGCGAGACAGGGTTTGGCTTGGCACCACGAAGCCGTAGAATCGCATGTTACACGTTATGATTGGAACATGTTTATGCGTTTATTTAATTTATTTACGGAGCTTCGTGCACGTTGACTGCGTGACACACTCCATAAACAGTTAAATTACGCATTTATTTAAAGAAAACTTGCGTGAAGTGGTGTTGTACTGCTGCGTTTCGTCTGGTGAGAAAGGGAGCCGGCGCCCATTTTATTAGAAGGTGGCAACGCATCTGCACCCCTATGTGTGTTGCAAATATCAATGGGCGGCGGTTTTTGCTTGAGATCAGGTGAACCGCCAGCTCGTTTGCCACCTTCTTACAGGAAAAGAAAGAATGGCATACTTGTACTAGCGTGACAGAATAGATAGGATCAGTATAAATATAATATAATATAATTGTCAGTTTCGATTTAAATAAATAAAATAAATATAAATAAATAAATATATAAATAAAATAAATAAATATATTTAGGACATATTTTTACACAACATTCTCTCGTCCCAAACTAAGCAACGCTTGTAGTATGGGTGCTAGATTACTGGTAAACATACTTTTCTTTTGTAAATAAATACATATTAAACATATATGAACACCCAGACAATAGAAAAACCATATGTTCATCACACAATATTTTTCCAGTAGTGGGGATCGAACCCACCCCGCAGAAGGCAGGTACACCACCCACTACGCCTTTCAGTCGTCAATGCTTGATTTTCTTATTAAGTTTCGTTCATTATTGATGAGGAAATCGCGTGAAGTGTTCGTTTAAACGATAAATATAAGTTAATACTGGCGAGGGTCATTGAACATATTGTGTATGGTCGCACTCGAGCACAACGCGCCATTACGTTGGCAGCATTGGCCATTGTTGTGAGAGCAACATTGTAATAAGGTTCTGAAGACGCGATTGGCGAGCGTGTTTCGATTCTCACTACTGGAAAAATTTCTAGTTTTTTCTTTATGCTAGTGTTTCTATTTTTGTATATACTTACTTTTATATGTATGTACTTTTATGTCTATACTTTTGTTTTTATATCCATAATACGCATTTATTGTTAATAAGTTGTTCACGTTTACGTAATAACGACTAGATTTAGGTAAACCAAAATCAAAGGTACGTCAAAGATACGTCATAAAACTCATCTCAATACATTACGAGTATAATGAGTGGCCTGTAATGATGATGTGTAACACCGGAGGGAACAAAGACGAGGAGTAGATTCCTAAATTGACAACACAAAGCTAGTAGTAACTAGGTAACTGTTAAACATAGTTTTCTTTTGTTAATGAATACATATTATACACACATAAACACCCAGACACTAGAAAATACTATATACACAATATTATTCCAATAGTGGGTATCGAACCCACATCCTATGGCATAATAGACCGGTCCACTATCCACTGCTCAGATCGGGTCGTTAAGGGTCGTTAAATATGATAATGCATACGCAATGACGTTAACATATCCCACGCTAAACAATTTTAACGCAACCACTACCCATATGGCGGGAAGCCAGATAAATACATCAATTCGACAGACTTTCTTGTATTAATAGAAGCATTTCGCGCACTCGCAAATGATGAAAAGACACACGCGCCGACATATAACGGTCGTCGCCAACGTTGTCAATGAATTTACAAACGAACCCGTCTTTAAATATATACAATGAAGGCTCAGTTGACGTTCTTGCTTATCTGCTGGCGTCAATGCCATTTGATCGAGGAGTCGAGTCACGATTATTTCAGATCAGGTAATGAATACCCAGTCCAAGAGAAATTCCCATATTGAAATGTCATTTTCGCAGGACGATGTCATCATGGAGTAACTAAATAAAAACTCGGAAGAAGTAGACACAATACTTTTAAAGGAGCCTTTAATTTTTGAGCTATGGGCGGGGGAAATCCCTACGCAACCCCACCCTCGCGGCGACAAGTGCGAACTGACACTGAAACCCCGCAATGTTCCACGCAGGACGCGTATCGTCAAGGCCAAGGACACGGGCCGCTTTGGCAGCCCATCTACGGAGAGCAGCTCCTCCCTGCTTTGGGTAATCCAAAAAGCAAACGAGCTGGCGGTTCGCCTGTTGTAAAGTGATAACCACCACCCATTGACATTTCCAACACCCGTAGGGTGATGCGTTGCCCTTTTAATAAAGTGGGCTAAAACTACCTCGCTCACCAGACGAAACGCACAAGTAGGTATAAGACTTCCAGTTCACGAAGGTCTTCTGTGAGGTCGTGGTACTTCCCCGGACCTGCCTATTCGCGCAAAAAAGAAAGTCCGTTTCGACCCCTTTTGCACGGGCAATGGGCTCCCCTGAGCCTGCCTCTGAGGAGTATTGGTAATGCTTGGATTGGCTTCTCTCTATCCTCCGTTACTCCACACCACTGATGTAGCAGTGGCCAGGTCAGGGGAGAGGAACAATCTTGGCAATCTTAGTCGGTGCCAGTCCTGGCCAAGGAGCTGACGGTGAGCGATTTACGCCGACAAAGAACTTCCGAACCCACAGCGGTCTACTCCTCAGGTCAGATTAGATGCAAGAGTGGCGGTGTTAATGCTTCTTAGCTGGCCGGGGAAGTAGGATTTCATAGAAAACTTGCCTGAAGATGTACTGGTAGACTTCATTAGCACAATTAGACAATGAACAATAGATAAATCTGTGTATAAGCAATATAACAGAAATTCTCTATTTGCTTTTATACCTATTATAAAAACAAACTACAAGACTACACAATTATAAAAGTATCGACAACATTGCCCAAATAGAATTTGTTGATAAGTCGATGATAAAATAATCAATCATAATATTAGTTTTGTTGTAAACGAGAACGCCAAAAGACGAAAAACTAATTATCTACTTAAAAGATTTCGAGTTATATTCTGTGAAACATAAAACGCGAAGTTTAGGCGGGAACATGAGCAATCAATGTTAAAATATCTTGGAACCTTTCCAACTTCGGAAAACTTATCGGAAAATTCGAGAGAATTTCACGTAGAGTGGAAAGTAAAAGCTGAGGCCTGACGAAATTACTTTTAAAATTTTGTGTTTTGAAATGCACGAGCATCTTATCGTTTCCACGAATTAATTAAAAAGTTATGAAGTACATCTTTAAAGTAAACGATTTAAAGAATTATTTTAAAAATAATTTAACGTTTATAATTTTATAAATTTTATTCGAAAAGCCCATATAAAATACAACAAATAAGATTAAATATCTACGAGCCAATTGTTAGCTCCTCGACGTTTTTTGCCAAAATTAAAATATAATTATTAAATATTCAACCCCAATACATAATTGTTTATATTTAATAATAAAATAAAGTAAGATACCAAAAAGTACTCACAAGACCCGAGCGCCAGTGCGAACTGCGCAACTCAAAAATCATAAAACGAACACAAAATCCACCACCAACAAACAACCGCCACCGCACCCCTACAACATGTAACACCACCACCAGACAGGCGTAGACAAATTGCACCTACTTCCAACGTAATTGTCCATGCTCTCTTTCCTCACGATGACGGACGACATCCTGGTCGCGTACACGATGCAGCTATCGAGGAAGGAGGAGTGGGGCGCTATCACCAGGATGGGCGCCTCCGCTCGGCTCGCCTGGCGGCCCCTTATCGAGATCGCCATGCCGCCGGCCAGGTACGACATCTTGCCGATGAAGCATATCAGCGGCTTCAGCGACCTAGAACGGGCAAACGGCCGCCGAGGTTATAGCCGATACGCGCCAGCGACCACCTGGCCGAAAGTAACGGACGTTTGGCCCGTTTTAAGAAAATAAACCGAAATGGCGGGAGATTTCACGTCGGATATTTTGAAGTTTCAATTATATTGTTATAATGTAATACGGGCCGATCTATAGTAAAAGTTAAAAATTGAGTGTATTATGATAATACAAAAAAATATCAGCGGTTTAAAATAAACTATCAGTTATAATTTACTTTGTGTAACTATTAAAGGATTTTTAAAAGGAATCGTATAAACTGTTGGGGACAATTACAAAAGATAATATGAATTTGTCACATTTTCCATTATATAGAAATATGATCGTTACATGTAAGTTTTTCTGGGCCAATTATATAAGATTTTAGGAGGCAATCTATGATAACAAAGTGGTACTCGTCCCACGTTATCATCAAGATAGGAAAAGCGATAACAAACCACGTATCAAAATTAATTAGTTTATAATTAGTTTCTGGCCTTGTTTAGGTAAAATATCGCGATCTAATAAAGCATTCCGCAAGACTAGTAAATAAGAAACACCCTTGATAAAAGAATAGTTGTTATTTATATATCGATAAAATAGTCTTTTTTTTTTCAAACGGATTACATTATAATTTCATACGGATGAATTTGGAATTATAGACATAGACAATAGACATTATTGTCTATACGGTAAACGAATAAATTCTTGTTTTGTTTAAAAATAATACGGTCTATTGGTTCGTCTAAGTTTGAGTTATCCATAACTTTTTAATTTTTAAAAAAGAGGTTAATAATTTCAGCCTAATTGATGTTTCATTCGTATTCATAAATAAGGGGCTCAATAGAAACCGAAATTCAATTGCATTCGAGTCTCCTAATTCGATCATGTGAAAAAGCTTTTTAATTTATTTATCGAATTTTCTTTGAAAGCATTTCGTGTATACGCGCCTACTTAGTCTAAGGCATTCTCTACCTATGCCTTATGAAACGATATTATAGTACATTAATTTTAAAGTGTCGTATTAATTTTCTATACGCAATGATATTTCAATAAAGTTGATGCTGCGCGGCGTTTAAAAATTGTCCCGATTTACATTATATTACTTATATAGGTCAATGTGGCAGATTTTACGGTGGTAGGGCCACGCAGCAGCCTCGGCTGTTGCATGAATGGGCAGGCCCGTCCGGGTAAGTACCACGACCTCAGAGAAGACCAGCGTAAAGTGGAAGTATGACAAATACTTTCGCGTTTCGTCTGGTGAGAGAGGTAGCCGGAGCCCAATTTTCAAAAGTTTGTCAACGCATCTGTAACCCTCGGATGTAGCAGAGTCCATGGGCGTCGGTATTCATTTACCATCAGGTGAACCATCTGCTCGTTTGGCAACTTTTCACATTAAAAAATGCTGTAGAACGAGAGCGGAGAGCGTCAATCGATTTAAAAGACGATTGTGTTTACACATATGTACAGTTGAAGGTAATAAAATGTTGTTAAAAATAAATCCAATTTAGAGGCGGTTGTGCACTTGACACATCAATTTAGCGCAAGCCACCGCAATCCGCCTCAATAAATCATTGTTGCTCTATAGTTTCTAATGTTTCCATATCTTCTATATCTAGTTTATTTCCAGGTACATTACCTATTCATACCATTTTGACTGCAGTTAATTGTAATGCAAAAGTATTAAACTATTTGATGACACCGTTGCGCAGCTTCGGCGTCGGAGACTTGTGGGTTCGATTTCCACACGGGACAACTATTTGTGTGACCCACAGATAGTTGTTTCGCATCTGGGTGTTTGTCCGCGTGAAATTTATGTTTGTAAATCGTTACAAGACAGGATAATGTTATCCTAACGTAAGGGCAATGTTTAAAAAAAATTATCATAGTTAAACACCTTTGATGATGTACGAAGCTGGCGCGAGGCCTGCTTTAAACGAGTCTCGGGGGCCCTGTCCCCATTACTCGGGCATGTATCTCGACCAGCGAATGGCTGGTCGGTGGTGAGGATGGCCATCGGCCATCCCTATCCCTGACCGCGGTAGCGGCACTTGCGGGTGTACGGCGTTACACGCGGTGTGTAACGCGAGGACGACATCGTCTTCGACACAGCGGCGGAAGTGCGGTCGGGTCCGGCCCCCCAATGGCCTGTTCCGACCGCAGTAGCTCTCGTGGGAGCGGACGTCCGTCAGGAGGACGGGCGTGGAGTGGAGCAATATTCTCCAGGTGTGGGTGTGGTCCGTTGTCAGCCCTGTCGTACAAGCGACGGGCCAACCGGACCACAAACTCCTCGATGGACACGATCTTCAGGTCTCTGGCGATTACGTCGTTCCTGACGTAACGCCCGGCTCCCACGATTGCTCGAAGGGCGAGGTTCTGCTGCGCCTGGAGCCTGCGCCTCTGCGAGGCGGAAAACCAGTGCATACCACGCCGGAGCGGCGTAGGTCAAGCGCGAACGGATGTAGGTTTTATAGACGCCCAGTTTCGTCTTAACAGGTAGCTTGGATGCCAGGATTGGGTAAAGGACCGCTCGAGCTGCCCTGGCTTGTCGAACAGAGTGTTCGACTTGGGGCGCCATACTCAGCGAGCGGTCTATCCGGCACCCAAGATACCTGATGGTGTCCTGGTTCGTTATCGCTTGACCTCGCAGCTCAAGCGTGGGTTGGTGTTTGATGTGGCGGATGAAGATGGCGGACGTTTTGTCAACATTGACAGACATCCGCCACCTATCCAACCACTCGGGCAGCAGGTCCAATTGGCGCTGCATCTTCCTCGCCGCAAACGCCGCGTTGTGTGAAGACGTGAAGAACGCACTGTCGTCCGCGTACAGGGCCAACAGTACGTCTTCATCCCAGTCGGAGGCGTTTTGCTCCAAGGTGGGAATGTCGTCCGTGTACACCGCATACAGGTGTGGTGACAGACAACTACCTTGTGGTACACCGGCTTTGATGCATCGTACCGCCGAGTCGGCTCCCTCGACGTGTACGACGAACTTCCGGTCCCGGAGAAAAGAAACGACGCTACTAACCGCACGAGCGCACGGTGGGTGGTGGTATTTTCCAGCAGCTTATGTAGCAGGCCTTCGTGCCACACTCTGTCGAAGGCCTTCTCCATGTCGAGAAGGACCCCCAGACAGATGCGGCCCCGGTTGTACTGAGCCGCAAGATAGTGCAACACTCGGGCCAGCTGCGCCGTGGTGGAATGGCCGCTGCGGAAACCGAACTGTTCCCTGCGTAGCTCGATGCAGGGAACTATTCTCCGCAGCAGCAACCGTTCAAAAAGTTTGGCTACGTGCGGCAGTAGCGTAATCGGTCGGTAGCTTCCCGGAAGTCGTCGGTCCTTGCCCGGTTTCGGCAGGACGATGATCTTACCGGTTTTCCACTCAGAGGGGAAGTGCGCCGTGCGCAGTACACCATTGTACAGGCGGCACAGCGCCACTAACCCCCTTTTCGGTAGTTGCCTTATCGCCAACGTCGTGATTCCGTCGGTGCCGGGTGCCTTGCGGAGCGCGAGATGACTCGCGGCTCTACGCACTTCGGCCGGAGTGATGAAAAGTCCACCATCCAGCCGTGGCACCGGCTCCGACAGGAACACCTGTATGTGCCGCTCCACTTCTTGGTGGAACGCAATGGCGCCTGGGGCCGATGTGTTTGGCCACAAATTGCCCTTCTAGGTGCTCTGCCAATATGTCAGCCCTGTCATGGGCTGCAGCGTGCTTACGCCCATCGCTACCCACGAGTGGACAGATGGGCTGTGATGTGCGGCTGAGCTGTCGGTTAAGGTGGTGAAGGGAGGTCTGCGACTCGGAGGCCTGCTCAATGCGGCGCTCCCACCCCTCACCCCTGTACGCCTTGATGGCTGCCGACAGCTCATCCTTGACCCGATTTAGACGTGTCTTCACTCGTGGGCAGCGGGTGCGGGCCCACAGCTTTCTAAGCTCCCTCTTCTCGTGTAACCGATCGAGGAGCCTACGCGGGAGCGTGTCTTTTCGGTGCACCTGCGGCACCGCCTTGGTCGCCGCGCGCAATTCTTCCTGTATTTTACAGGTGATTTTGCGCGCGGCCTGTTCCACGTCTTCCGCGGTTGATATGGGTGCACCGAAGCTAAATGTGGACATTGCCCTCGAATAGGCTCCCCAATCGGTCCTATATTTAGGGCCCCTGGGAGCCAGTGAGTCCGCAGCCAGACTCAGCACGATGAGCACAGGGAGGTGCTGTGTGTCCGCATCGTACAGCACCTCTACCTGGACAGGGCATGGCACTTTGTGGCAGAGCACGATGTCCAGGACATCCGGAACGTGATCTTCGATGGTGGGTATGTGTGTGGGCTCATCAGGGCCCAGCACTTCATAACCCACCTCCTCGGCATGTTCGTATAGACTCCTGCCTGCGGGGGTCTCAATTCTTGATCCCCACGATGGATGTTTGGCGTTGAGATCCCCCGCTATAATGGCAGGAGTGTTATCAGAAAAGATATTCCGGATGTCACTGGCGTTGAAGGGCAAACCCGGGCGATACGCAGCGAACATACGTATCTCTTTCCCGCCCGCGTGGAGGCATACTCCTATGGAGCGCGTGCTTGTAAAGCTACGCAGCTCCTCTTCGTCGTGTACTAGGTCCCGTCTTACCAACACGGCCGTACCTCTATAGGCATAGCCGTGGTCTGGGGAGATCTCATCCCTACGGTACACGACGAAGTTCGATAGGCGGAACGGCTGACCCGGACGGAGCTTGGTTTCCCCGAGCAACACAACTTGGATGTTGTGCTGCTGAACCAGCATCCTTAGCTCCGGGAGCCGTTGCTGTATGCCTCCAGGGTTCCAGTACATGGCCCTAATTTGTGGCGCCATTGCGTACCGCGGTCAGGGATTTAATGGCGTTCGTTAACGCCGTTAAGGTGTCATTTCCTGTCGCGATGGAGACCAGGACATCCCCCAAGATTCCTGTCACCAGCCGGATCAGTTGATTTATTGCCTCTTCGATTCCCTGTGCGACGTACGCAGAATCGCGGGAATGGGAGGCAATGACGTGGTGGGTGGGTGGTCCCCTTACCCCTTGGCCTTGTTGGGCCGGTTGGTGGTGTGGTCGCGGTGTAGTTGTTGCCGCTGCGGCAACATTCTCCCGCCGTTTTTGCTGTTGTCGCTTTTTCGGCGCAGCAGTGGTGTTGGTTTGGGAAGCGGGGGGGGGCTGTAGGGTCACCACGGCTTGGCCCGCTGAGTGCGGTTGAGGGATGCTCTTCTTCTTCCTCTTCCCCCTCTTCTTCTTTTTCTTGGCCTCCTGGCCTCGAATGGTGGCGTCGTTGGCCGGTGCCATGAGTGTGGTATGAGTACTTGCTGCTGGCTGTGTCGTGCTCACAGCCATTGCGGGGGTTGTCGCTGTGCTCCCCTGAGTTTGAGGGGGAAGAGGCATTACGCTCCTTTCGGCAGGGTGTGGAACTTGTCTGGATGGCGGTGGTGGTGGTAGTGGCGGCGGCAGTTTAATGCCACGGCTCTTGGCCACCCTTTGAAATACCGCACAGCGCCTGTCATTGGCTGCGTGCTGTTTTGCGCAGTTAGCACATTTCGGCGCTTCGCCCTTGCGTGGGCATTCGGCCGATATGTGCTCACCAGCGCAGCGCACGCAGCGCAGGGGTCTGTGGCAGTTGGCAGATGCGTGACCGAACCCCTGGCAGCGGTGGCATTGTGCGGGACCACCTTTTCCAAGCCAGGCCTCTATGGTGATGCCTGGCATGTTCAGCACCTCTGTGACATCGTAGAGGCGCTTTAGCTCGTCTTTATTGAGGTGGTCGAGTTTGAGGTGGTAGAGTGTTCCCGGCCTCGACCTCTTGGGCATTATCGCCCTTGAGTAAGTAGCCGGGAACCCTATTTTCCTAAAATACTCGACCACCTCGTCTGGTGGTGTGTCCCTTGGGAGGCCTCTGATCCCTACCTTTGTTGGTACCTCTTCTGGCGGAGCGTAGCAGTACCACACAACAGTAGGGTCCTTTTGGCTACACTCGACGGTAGCGCTGGATTGCCCGGTATTCCGCGGCATTCTCCGGGGTAAAACGCACTCCCTTGCCGAGCGGCCTGGCGTTTGGGGCGTGTCCTAGCTGCCCTTTGAGGGCAGAAAAGTGTTTTGTCCATTGTGGTAGGCACTCTACCACAATGGGCGGGTATTTGCGCCCCTTCTCCTCGGCAAGTTGAGGTGGCGCTTGATTGGTCCCCTGTGTTGTAGAGGACCGTCGGCGTGGTGATGGTGGAGCCGAAGCCGCGTTAGCGTACGTCGGCGGTGCTGTTTGAGCAGTTGAGGGGCCGGGTTGGGGCTCCTCGGAGTCCATTTCAACCTCATTCCCTTCGGTTTGTTGATCACCATTTGATGGTCCAGGCGTCAGCTCTATCACGTCGTTGGTGTGAGTAGGGACATCCTGCCTCTTATCCCTGTTTAAGGCTGAGTCGTCTAATTTGGGACGCTTATCGTCCTGGGTTGGCGACTCAGGGGATGTGGGTGGACGGGGTGTTTCGTCCTTTGTGGTATTAGCGGTGCTGCCAACAGTTCCCCACTTACGGAAGCAATTTGGGCGGGCTCTGCGGCCTTGGAGGGCGCGCTACCCTTTGATTGGGGTGGTTGGATCTGCGAGGGCAGAATCCTAGTTATTTCATTAGTGAAAATATTCCTTTCGACAAGGATTTTCACTTGTGGTTTGGCTCGCCTAGCTTTGGCGGTGGTAGCGGCTTTTTTGCCGCGACCCATTGTGGTGTGTTTATGCAGTGTGCATCTATAACAGGTGTTTTAGAGCACACCGAAGATTTGCTTATACGCACTCTTTCTGCGCGTGTCTATTGGGCTGCTCCCGCACCGCACCCCACCGGGGGACGCCCGGAGGGAAATCCACCGATGAGGCCGGCTGTATCGGATATAACCACAATAGACAGCGGGTGGAGTGATTTGGCTGTTTTAGGCTACTGAGGTAGCCCTACCTCACCACTGGACCCTTTTTTATTAAAAAGGGCGACCAAGTAGCAAGCAGCTACGCGGTTGAACTTGGTTGAGCGCTGAAACGACAGAAAGCCAAGAACGAACAGCGAAAGAGGAACGAAGTGTCCTAGGCGACTCGACGCGGAACGGAGCAATGCTCGACGCTCGGCGGAGTTCGCTTCGGAAGGCTTAGGCTGTGCACAACCCTACTGCAGATGCAATGAAGGCGTACAACAACGTTTACCACTCACTTGATCCTCCAAACACCTTTGCATTGCTATGGTAGTTACTATGATATAGATTGCCCTTACTGTAGGATAAGATTTTCTTGTGTTTAAAGGACTTTTTACATTTTTTTATTTAAATAAATGAGTTTCATGTGAACACACACCCAGATCCGAAATAATTACTGTGGGTCACACAAATAGTTGTCCCGCGTGGGCATCGAACCCACGACCTTGGCCGAAGCCAATATCATGACAAATACGCAACGGAGGCATGACTAGTTATACACTTGTTCAGTGGGAGCCAATCCGCTCTTGTAATTGGACGAGGAGATTGACGCCGAAAAATTGTTCCATTACGTGCAATTGCAATCGGTAGCAAAACGATGGTGAGTACCTCTGCGACCGACAGTTGATGTCAGATAGAACGAAAACAAGAGCGTAACTTAGCGTTATGAAGAAATTTTAAAATAAATACATATTTCTTCGGCGAACACTAGGTATTCTGTCTGGACAAACCGTAAATATGTATTATATTATTCGTGTTTATAGAATTTTAAACATTTAGTAGCTTGACAGCCTTGCCAAGAATTGCCTTAGCAAGGCTGTCAACTGCAATGATATTAAGACAGAATCTGGAAATTACGTAAAATTTTTATCGTATTTTCGATATGTGAACTGGCTCCGCATGATTGTTCTACAAATACTGTAATATATGTTCGTTCTATATCTATTTTTAGTTCAATTTGTTGAATTTTTCTACATTTTTAATCTCGATAGTTGTGGTAGAATAGAAATTATTTTATCGACATTGTACCACAAATACATTGCGTTCTCATCACAATCTACATCTACACCAACACAATCTATTCTGACGTAACAGTTAATAATTTCCGCTTACGTGTTTTCTGTTTGATACAATATTTGTTTTTTACTTATAGCAAAGATATGATCTGATCATATTTTTAACATGAACTGGCTAATGTATTTCTGTCATCTGGTAAGTAGATATATCCGTTGAAAGTAAACGCACCAGACCACTAAAATCCCCTTTTCACAGATTCTGGTACAGATTAAAAAAGTCTTACGGTGTGAATGAAAATAAAAGGTACATCTTAATGACGGAGCAGTCGTCAATACTTACGTAGAAAAGGTGTCAACTTACTTGACAACAGACATCGAGCTATTATCTAAAAGGCAAAACAGATGTCCGAAAAACAAAACGGCACATCGACACGCTCGAAAAACAAAAGCAGCGGCAACATGCAAAAACAATCGTACACCAACAAGCCGTAGCGCGTACAAAAGTAGCGTGAACAATGTGAACAAGTGTGAACGAAACAAATGCGTGTGAACAAAAACGAACCGAAGAATATGAACGGATCTACAACAATACAAAGGTCTTACGGACGGCGTGAAACCCCATCACAACTCGCAACGTCACTGAGGAATCTAGGCTTAAGTGGTAAAAGCTCGATTTGTGTTGTGTTGTCGCCTGCCGTATCGGAGTAATCCACTCTCTACGGTACCTCACGACAAAGCAACATGCAAACATAAATGCAACATTTATCTACAAATGTACTCATTAGATGAGTGATATTAACTTGGCTCTCCTTTTGCCTTAACTCTATAGAGAATTTTGTTGAATTTTGTTTAATAACTTCAAATATACGATAAAGGACACACCAAATTTATACATACATAAAATCGCAAGCATGCAAGTAATGAATATTGATCCCCATATTTTGCATGTCACGTAAAATGTAACGGTTTCTGTCAACGGTTAGTCATCTATTCAAAAATATTTACCAAAACTAAACAATCTCACTCTCGAAATAGTCAAGATAACATAATATACCAGAGTTTTATTTAGGCTTAGGTTCAAATGGAAAAACAAAATCGAGCTTTTAGTATATTTAACAAATAAAAGAAGGCTGTCCTTCGTTATATTTGCAACGTTGCGAATACTGTGTACAGTCACATGCACATTTGATCAACACCTACCTGTCGTTAGACTCAGTACTAGACAATTTTGTAACGTGCCAACGCAGGTGACTGTACATAACGATAAATCTATAACAGTACAAGCAAACAAGAACCTACATCGACGTAAGCATTTGTTCAACGGGACCTCGTTTTTCTAATTTCACTTAACTAACATGAAACAGTGAGACCTTGATAACATCTGCAGTTACTATTTGTAATCATACAAACATAAATTCCGAAGGTTGCGTATATGTTCGTGTGCTCTTCGTGTCGCAACGGCTTTCAATTTTCAATGAAATTAGCAATGGATATTATTCATGCCCCGATTTAACTAACGCATGTATTATCAGACAATATTTTTTATCCCTTACAAATTAACATTTTGCAACCGACTACAAAAAAGGTGGTTCACGATTCGTTGTGGTCTTATTTGTCTGTTACCGCAAAACCCCGTGACTTATGAACCGATTTTCAAAATTATTTTTGCATTGTGTTCGGCTTAGCTCCCATTCGGTCCCATTTTAATTTTATTGCTATTGGACCTTGGGCTCCGGAGACACATCAGGAAATTTCTCAAAATCAAATAAAAGAAATGTATAGTGAGTATATTTGAAACTCGTTTTTCATTCATACGCACATAAACGAACGATAACTACGGTTAGAAACTAGTTAATTTACAAACGTTTAGGTTTACCGTGAGATCTTTTTCCGGTAATGAAATATGGATATTATAATCGCTCATTGGCATTACGTTGCGTTTTAGTGAAACTGTTACGTTAGCCCAATAACAATACCGACATAAAAGCGACTGAGGCGCGTACTAGTAACACAAGTTAGGAGTGTTCTTAGCCCGATCGCTAAGAGGTCCGCCTCAGAGCAAATTGTACGGGGCCTAACGGTGCGTTGTTGAGTGTATTAGCACTAGTGATGTGATAAGATTGGAATTTATCGAATATCGACTTTGTACTTGCCCAATATCAATGTTAACCTACTTTATGCAATATTGTTTTGTTGTAATCTGTTTAAGATATGAAACAGGTTATAACAAAACAATACTGCATAGCTCCATTAAATTCCGTTCTGAAAAAAATGTAAGAGTATCATTGTTAGCTTTATAATCCGTGTTGACGACGTCATAAGTATGTTTCAATAGAATCTAAAAGGATTTTCTATCGATTTTATACGCTTATATCGGCTAGTCTGATACAGAACAGACGATTTGAAACAAAATCAAACTCGACAATATATTTAAAATGTGCTCGTAAATTGAGCACGTATGTTAATATTTCAGTCATCTAAGTAAACCTTTATCCAACATATAAATATTTAAAAGTAAAGTAAAGTAACAGCCTATACATGTCCCACTGCTGGGCAAAGGCCTCCTCTATACAGAGGGTATCAGGGCATAGTCCACCACGCGGCCCCACTGCGGATTGGCGGACTTCACATATATTCGAAATATATTTTTTTTTGTTATTATTTCGAAAATATGCAGGTTTCCTCACGATGTTTTCCTTCACCGCGGAGCACGTGATAAATCAGCACTTAAAGTTAAAAACTTCATTGGTGCCGGCACCGGGGATCGAACTCAGGTTGCTCGAGTATATTGAATTAAAGGCGAGCGCCCGGACACTGAGCTATCACGGCTATAAATATTTACATATAAATATTCATTGAAGCCAACATATTAATAGTTATCATTCTGAGAAATAATTTATGACGTACATCACTGAATCCGCACATCACTATAACATATCTTTGTCCCCTATTCTCAAACATATGAGTACTTTAGCGTTGTGAAATTTCATGTTGACATTCATATGGTCGAAAAATAACGGCAACGTTTTTTATCGTCGGCGATCAATAACCACCTCCTTCACTATCAAACCTCTAAATCACATTATATTTAAAACTTACGTTTTGTAAGAAATAAAAATTATTCTTTTGACTCAAAAATTGCAAGTTTTGTCGTTTCACTTTCTAGATATTCAACGGTATAATCTATTGTAACTTTCCTATTTCCAACTTCGCGATTACATTCGATTAAAATTGACTTATAGACTAATCGCAGAGAATTACAATTTCGGAGGGAGAGTTACCACCAGATAATAAACTTGATTCACTGCTGCCATTAAGAAACTAGCATCGTGACCGACGGACGAGAGCACATCGTGAATCTCCTTCGGAAGATCGTCAACAAAACTCCACTGCGCTATTACCTATCAAATATCGGGAGCGACGTTATCAAGGTCTCAAAGCATCGGCTACTTGATCCGATTTGACAATCGAGGTCTCAAAGCATCGGCTACTGGGTCCGATTTGACAATGATCCAATTTGAAAATCAAGGTCTCAAGGCATCGGCTACTGGGTCCATGGCAAACGCCCACGTCGCTCCACCTACGTCCGATGAGGGGCAGCCTGGCCGTGTCCGCCTTGGCGACCACGCTCGGCGCGCCAAGACACACGATGGCGATCGCGTCGAAGAACGAGGAGTGCGGCGCCATCACCAGCACGGGCGCCTCGCGGGCCTCCGCGGCCCTGTCCCTGCCGAGCACCCGCACGCGGTGGAAGCCCGCCGCAACCACGACCAGCCGCATTAGCGAGAGGATCGACAGGCGCAGTTTGCTAGAACAGAGCCGCGGTTAGTCTGGGTCGGTCAGGCCCTGGAAGATCGCCGTAGTGTGATCGGTGGACAATGAGGCGTACTGCTATACAATTCACTGTCATGTGCAATTAGCATACAGCTATATACCGGAAGAAGCGACAGCATGATAATCAGGGCCGTGGTTGGTCCGGACCCTGGTACAACAACAACTATCACGATGGTGGACGGTAAAGAATGATACGCGTGACTCCAATAATTTTCTTTGTTGAATGCTATTTTTCAAACCGTAGAGATAGAGAGGTGCGACAGATGCAGCTTGATAAAACGGGGCCGTGGTTGATACGGTCAGTGGTACGTCATCAACTATCACGATGGTGGACGGTCAAGAATAACACGCGTAGCTGCTATTTAGTTTTTATTGAACGCAATTCATCACGCAACCGATCTCTATAAAGCAATGATAGGTGCAACTAGATGAAATAGGGCCGTGGTCTGTCCTACTATCACGATCAAGAATGATACGCGTAACTGCCATAATTTTCTTTGTTGAATGCAACAGATGCAGCTTGATAAAACAGGACCGTGGTTGGTACGGACAGTGGTACATCATCAACTATCACGTTGGTGCGCGATAATGATACTCGTAGCTCAGGCAACCGATGCCTAGAAAGAAACGATAAGCGCAAGTTGATGAAACAGGGATGTGGTTAGTCTGAAACCTGGTACAGCTATCACGATGAAGAGTTATACGCGTAACTGAAACAATTTTCTTTGTTGAACGCTATTTCTCAAACCGTATAGATAGAGAAGGACAGAGGCAACTAGAGACGGCGAAACTCGCAAACTGATGGTACACGATCTAGAATAATCCGCGTAAATGCAATGGTTTATGGTGTGATACGTAATTTTTCAAACCGTACAGCTCGAGGTCTGGTACATCGCCAACTATCACTATGGTGTACTTATAAACATTATTTGTCTATGCTATTTATAACACTGATTTGGACTAATTAAACCGGAGGAAGACTTATTCCGTCAATGTATATCGCAATTGCGAAGAAGAAATAATTGTAAAATTATTTACGTCACAATACATCAAAAGTGCATTTATTATTTTTTATCAAATGTTGAAATTTGCAGTTTAATGGGTATTTCTCATGGGCTTAAATGAGAGCAGTTTTCAGAGTAAGCAGTTCAACTGTTGGCAGGTGAGGACCACTTTCCATGGGCACTAAAACACTATCGATGTTATCGGCGTCCAAAGCATTGCTTACAATGCGAAAATAAGCAATGTAGATAAAATACTTTGACATTTTCGTCAGTGCGGCAATCAGCCGCTAAGCTAAGTGGTTAAAAGTTCTGGGCACGAATCCGGAAGACGAAGGTTCGATTCCCGCAGCGACAAAGAACTTTTCGTAGACTTTTTTTACAAATTTAAACACCATAGTTAAATTAGAAAAATATACATCAAAATGAAAATACATATAACCCACAGAGACGTAATTAATAATTTTACTTACTATTGTTTTAAAAAAAAATGTTGAAATATACGTTAATATGAAACATAAAAAATAATGTTCATTACTCAACTTTTGACATTAACTGCTTAAGCTAATTAAGTTAAACGAAGTTAAGTCGTGATACTGGATACATTTAAAAAGTTAACCTCGAATGGGTGGTGAATATGAAGAAATAAAATTTTTATTCGGAGTTTTTAAAGAGTTTAGTTTGCAAAGAATAGTTATATGAAAGCATAAAATTGATTTAAAAAACTATGAGGAAGTTCAATATTCTTAGATAGCATAACAGACGGTCCGTGATGCTGTAGTGGCTAGAACATCAAACAAGCAACAACACAACTTGCCATAATGAGGTCGGTAGGTCGAAGTCCGGCTCTGTAAACACTTGTGTTTTCCATCTTGTTTATTGCAATAACACTCTTAAAACTACTATTTTCTCTATTTATTACGTATTTTATCATCTTAAACTGTTTATGGTCTTTATATCCAGTACACGGTGCAAAGGCTTACCGCAATTGATAAATGGACAAGTGTCACAGTTGATGTCAAGTACACCTGAGAAAGTTTCCATTATAACAGTAACAGTTGAAACATTTATCGTTATATCATTAACATTAATATAACATGGTCACAGGGAAATGCAGGAACCATATGCGCCACTGATGGATATTTGCCCAACCCTCACAAATACACTTTTTCGCTTTTCAACTAATAGGAATGTGAACATCAACTGTAATTTTGAAATGTACGGCTTACAAAGATGTTTATAATATATCTGTAAAAAGAATTACCAAAGCTTTACTTATTATTACGACTTTAATAGATTTGACTTTAACAGTCAAATCTATTAAAGTCGTAATTAGTTCTAAAAATAATTTAAACGAGTATTTTTTCCATTTCAATTACAAATCAACTGACGATGTCTTTAGTTTTTATTATATAATAAAATGCTATGTTTAAAAAGATGGAATTTTAAAATACCTTAAAGCTGTTAAATATGTCAATAATCTATGAAAAATCAGCGTAAGGGCTTTTTCGAGTTATGTGTAAACAAGTAAAAAAAACCCTAAGTAACTGGTTTAATTCAAAACTATGAAAACACAAGATGGCCCGGGGTCAGTCCTATTCTTTTTGAATCGCATTGCACTCGTTTTACTTGTAAGAGTATGTTGTGACTCGCGTAAAGACGAGAAAGATACGTTGACAAGGAAGGGAACTCTGTTGGCGCTTCTACGGTGATTTGGTTTAAACTTTTAAATTTAAGTTGAGCGACGGGTGAATGCATTTCAACGACCATTATGCGAACAATGAACACTTTTCGATGTCTATTGAAGAGTATCTTCGGCAATTAAATACGCTGAGCATGGCAGTTTAAAAGTCACGTGAATTGATTTCTACAGATGTACCATTACCGCTTTTTTGTGTAAAATAAATAAAACGATCTCAATCAAGCAGATTGTAATGTAGGAAATATTTTATTCCTAAGAATTACTGTAATAAATTTGGATAAATTACTACTGTGTGTATAAATCAGTGGTAATATTGAGTTATTTACAACAAATGTTCCGTAGTAAGCTTCTTCAATATCGTTTCTCCGGGTGAGTGAGGTAACCGAGGCCCACTTTTATAAAGGCTGGCAAACGCTTCTTCTTGTTGGGGAAGAAAGGTTCTCGAGTGGCAGCCTCGTACTGGCCATCGCAGTGTAGGACGACCCCCCACTAGATGGAGTGACGACCTGTGCAAGTGTGCGGGAAGTCGATGGATGCAGGTGGCTCGGGATCGTACTTCGTGGCAGTCTGTGGGGGAGGCCTATGTTCAGCAGTGGACTCAAACAGGCTGAAATGATGATGATGATGATGAAACGCTTCTTTGGTGCTGTTGATATCCATGGGTGGCGGTAATCAGTTAACGCCAGTTGAACCGCCTACCGACTCGCACAGTAATCGAAATAAGGGTATTAATTATTTAATATATTCAAATGTCTCCTTATGTGTGCTTCTGTAGACTTGACCCTTCTTATAAATATCGCAAGCTTACATAACGATATCACATGTCGAACGAACTTGACTCAAGTCATACGATGCGCCGCTTATGTCCATACAATTATGGTTCCCCAGCTACTTTCACGTTCGTTTGCTTTCTAATCGACTTAATCGAACAAATAGCCGTCTCTTATACTCTATACAGGCAGACACGCATCGTCCTCTGACAATACGTTTCAAGTAAAATTACCTTCAAATTATTAAGGTAAATACATGCTAGATTAAGCTTTTTCAATTTTGTATAGCCCGTCCACATAGTCTTCCCATTTACACATGAGCAGTAACTCCATTAATCGTAATTGTTTAAGTACATTATGGGCATTTTGAAAGCTAAATATTGAACAGAAATAAATATTTAAATATTTAGCGGATATACTCGCGGTCAACTTTGTTCTTAAATACACGACGTATTAAACAGTTACTGCACGTAAACATGAAAAACAAGAATGTTTGAAGTCTTAATGTCATGGTTAAGTCAGGCTGACTCCTGCGTTTATTCGGTTATTTTCGGCCCGCTCTATACCGAAGAAGCTTACCTATAGCATATAAGGGTCTTGCAGTGTCGGTATATTTTTTTTACTATTATTGTATTAACTGATGTTTGTGCACTGATGTTTGTGTTACCGCAGAACCGGTGGGCTAGCCAGAAGGCCTAAGCCCTCCGCTGTGGGTAGGGCCGCGCATGTGCTCATGCGTGCGTTTAAGTACGGCATGTCATCTAAGGGCCATCGAGGTTGCGGTGCGGACCGAGACCCCGATGGCTTGTGTTTTACTAATTGACTGTGTTTTTAGCTAATCGGTGGCTGGGGGCCGGTGAGAACCGCCCTGGAACGCGGGTGTACCTTGTGTACGCGTTGTGTTGGTCTCGCCGCGCTCGGAGGCGAGGGCGAACTATTGTGTTTGTTGTTACACTAGCTGTGGTTGTAGTGTTACCCGGCGGGACCACCGACGGTGGGTCCGACGTATGTAAGTCGAATTCCCAATTCCTTCGGGTGATCGTTGTACGAGATTCCAAACTTTTTAAGCAAATTGTGTCTTACATTATCTCCAGTGCATTACGAATATACGGAAAATACTACTCTGTTACAGGAATTTATGTGTTGTTGCAGTAAATGTTTAGCTTTCATGGCAAAATGACATCGCCTACGTATTACGATTTATGTGAAAAGTTGTCAAGCAGACGGTTCACTTCATGTTAAGTTAATACCGCTGCCCCTGGACATCTAAAAAGTGTGAGGACTTGAAGATGCCTTGATAACCTTTCAACCCCCTCACGCCGATCTTCTGTGAGGCTGCGGTCTTTCCCCGGATGAGCCTGCCCGTCTTTGCAACAGCAGTTCCGTGGCCCTACACCTGGCCACAGTCAATCTCGAGTATTAATCAAAATTATAATCTTTACCACTTCACATAAAAAATGTCAAACGCTTTCAACTAACTGGTCCTCTCCATACAGCACAC